TCATATAATTCCTCTCAAATGACTTCAACTGTCTAGATGCATAGGCTATTACTTTTTTGTTTTGAATTAGAACAAATCCCACGCCTCGTAATGATTGGTCGCTATAAATATGGAATCCTTCTATTTCTGATGAAATATCTAATATTGGAGCAGTAGTCAAATGTTTCTTCAACTCTTGAAAATCGTACTCATATTCTTCAGTCCATCGTACTTGACATCTTTTCTCGTTAAATTGGACAATGACAACTATTTATAAAAATTTTTTTAATGAACATTCTGTAATAACCAACAAAACCAAAAAAAAAATGCATAACTCCTTAACATTTTTTGGAGTAGACCATGCGACAAATGCTTTCACCTTATGATTATCCACTGAAATTCCTTGCCCGCTAATAATATGCCCCAAAAATGCAATGAGTAGCAACCATAATTCATATGCAAAAAAATTTGCATATAGTTGATTCCGCATCAGCAGCTCCAATCTATCGTCAGATGTTTGTCATGATTATCATCGGTTCTTGAATATATATAGTTGATTCCGCATCAGCAGCTCCAATCTATCCTCAGATGTTTGTCATCAGAATATTATTGATAAAAGTAATGATAAACTGATCCAAATAAAACTTAAATATTTGATTCATCAAGTCCATGAGCATGACATCACCATTGGTTAAGCCAAAAAGGTATAACTAAGAGTTTATAATGACTATATCTGGTCCTAAAAGCTATTTTAGTTACATTTGACTCTTTGACTTTGTTCTAATGATATTCCAATCTCAGATCAATTTTAAAAAGTACAGTAGCACCTTCAAACTGATCAAACAAATCATCTATACTAGCCAATGGATATTTATTCTTGATTTTCAGCTTATTCAACTATTTATAATCGATGCATAGTTGCATAGATTCATTTTTCTTTTTGACAGATAATCCTTGAGCACTTAAAGGTGAATGGCTTGGCCTGCTAAAACCCTTGTATATTAGTTTATGCAATTTCCATTCAATTCATGCAATAAGTTCGGAGCTATCCTTTAACGAAATTTGAAAATTTTAGACGTCCCTGGCTGCACATTAATGCTAAACTTAACTTCCCTTTTTGGTGGTAACTCCAACACTTTTTCAAGAAACACAACAAAAAATTCTGCAACAATGGGGATGTTCTTTAATTCATTGACATCTTTATTCAACACATTTAAAGAACACTAGTTCACCATTTCACAAATATTTTTCAACTTTAACTGTACTAATTAGAGAAGATTGTGCATTACTATTGCAGAAAAAATTATATGACTTCTTGCCAGACATTGAATTTCACTCATCTTTTCTAGCTTTTAATGTTTCACTATCCAATCCATTCCTGGTATAACATCAAAAATTTAAATTATAGAATGATGCTTAATTTTATTAGCACATTTCTCTCAGAGTTCTTAACATGTACAAAACATTTTGTGTATGTATAGAAAACACTTTCCAAAGGCATAATAACATATAAGGTAGGAGTAAAGTGTACAATGTTAATAAATAAACTGGCAACAAAGTTTCATAGATGAAAGAATGTGATAAACCTAAATCGAATAAAATATTGCCAGTTTTTCAAAACCTTTAACTTCTCGAGTAAGTGCAAAAATTCTGGCCTTCACTAGTTGCTCATATCTGTGTTATGAAGTTTCACCCTTTGCTTGAGTTGATGGAAATTCTGGCCTTCACTAGTTGCTCATATCTGTGTTAAGTTTCACCCTTTGCTTGAGTTGATGGATTTTCAAAGAATTGAGTTTTGCTTGACTGTCCGCCTTCCAAAAGCTTCTTGAGCTATCCATGTCCTTGAGATATCGATGGCCTGCTGTATCTTTCTTTTTTTGTGGACAGTTCATCTGAAGATGCCCTGCTTGTCCACATCTTTAAACTTTTCTATACCCATCAAGTATCGCTCAAAATACCTTTTTCCACACTTATCATAAACTGACATTTCTAACTTTGGCAGCTCTGCTTATCTTCTGATTTAAATTTCTTGCTTTGGGGTGCTTCTCTCTTACCAAAATCTATACATTTGCTTGCTTGGGGTTGCCATCGCTTATTGGAAAAATTCAGGTCATTTTCAATTATTCTGGTTGTGCCTACCACCACCTCTCTGCCTTTCCTTCTAACATGAAAGTGACCAGCACTTTTCTTCTAATATCTAAAAAATTCACGCCATGTAGAATCTTCACGATCTTCAATAACCAATCTTTATTAATTATATGGTCGCCGACACTTCTAAATGCAGGTGTTTAATTGTCTGAAAAATCTTCAAATACCGATCATCTTCTATGCCATATTCAGACATGGGCCCGATGCTTATATATGATCTTTCAATAATAACTATTTTATCAACCACTTAAGATATTAACTGAACAATGTCTTACAACTCAGTGGCTCTGGTTTCTTTATTTGTTCTATTTTGAATATTATTTTTGTTCGTCATTTTTCAGTTTGTATTTCTTGCTTTGCAATTAGCCTAGAAGGCTAACCCTCAACTTTTTTCTACTTCATCCTCAGGCATATTTATCTGTGTTGACATAATTTATTATTCGTTGTAATTTTACATATAATAATTATGTCATGCATGCATTATATCTCAAGCCAAATGGGTTACCCATAAAAAATCAATTAGCCTATAACTCTGTATAAATTAATCTATATTTTAATTGTATTCTTACTTCTTCTAAATTTAAACACGCTTCCATCATTCTTTTCATCCAATAACCTCACTCTGATACCACTTTCTGTCACACCCTAATTGACCCCATTTTAGGGTCAATCGTGGTGCGCCAATTCTCATCAGCTCCCATTCTGACTTACAAAATGGGTAAAGAATTAGTTTTACTCAATCGTCGCAAGCATACATGCCAATTCTCATCAGCTCCCATTCTGACTTACAAAATCAGGATCTTGTGGGTAAAGAATTAGTTTTACTCAATCGTCGCAGGCATACATAATTTATTTCAATTCATAATTCATTCACATTCATATATACTTGAAAGCATGAAAAATCATATCACCTAAACATGCATACAAAGGTGCTTAATCCAAATCAATAAAAATACATACTTAATTGTACAACCTCTAAAACTATATAATAAAAAAGCTGTACACGTCACACCCGGCTACTTGTCCTGTTGCTCATTCTTCCTTTCTGAAAGTTAACAACATATAGTGAGCTACAAACTCAGCGAAATAATTAAGGCTAAAGAAATATTTTATAGAAGAAAAAAATTACATGCATGATCATTGCTAGCTCATATTCAGGACAATATAACATATCATAATATGCTTTAATCATGTAAAATAACTATATGAAAGCGTGAAGTACAGTAAATCATGACAACCTTATAAACATGTGTGTCATCCGTTTATATGCAATCATAGGCATATCCTTATGAATTTCATAGCCAATTACTATTATAATTAGAATGACGCTTGTAATTATGTAGGTCTTGACTATTTTTATGTCATTTCATATCATTTCATGTCATTGGGTAGCTCCCAGCTTGAAGGCTAATTAACTATCGCTAAATGCTCGGCCTCTTTCACATAGTTATCAATAACCCTCATAATATCAACAGTTCCTTAGTTTCTATTCCTGTCTGACACCAACAATTCCCAGCTTTTATCCTCGTTTGAATGGAAATCCCATCATTACCTATTAGCCGTACATACGAATATTCATGTAATAACATACGTAACACAACACTTATGACATTTATGTATTAAAAAATCATAGGCAATCCATAATCATATGCATAATTAACATGATAAGTATACCTATAAGCAAATATTTCATAATATGCTCATCACATTAATAACATAGGAAATTCATAATCATAGTTAGAGTCAGTATCAATTAGCTTTCAAATAATCATGTGTATGCATCCTTCAACATGCAATAAGTCTAAATGCATTCACATATTAAAGAAATCATATCAAGTCCTAAAGAAATGTATTATTCATAATTTAAAATAGAATTATTTTACCTGAAATGACGGAACAACCCTAGGATAAGTTTTCTCAAACTGGTCGCCTTGTGTAAACCACCTGGAATTCATAAACCCTTCGAATATTCATGAAATTCTTGGCTTATATCGTGATTTAACCCAAACATAATTTTCTTACCTCAAACGGGCATCCTCTTCTTCAATTCTCTCCTAATCTCTTCTTCCTCCTGACCTTTCTTTCTTCCACTTACTTTGCTGATTTACTTGCAAACAACTCTTATTGATAGGACAGAACCCAATTCGCAGCTTCCGACACTAGTTTGCCTCTCGATATAATAATTGGCAATGAAAATCAATTTGTAGCAAATGCCAAAGGGAAATCGTAGGGAAGGAAATGTTGCCTCAAATATTGTGAAGTAAAGGTTTCTACTTATTGATTTTGCCTTGGAGTCTTGAATCGCCGTCTGCGGCTCCCTGCATGTTGTGCGCCTGCTACTGTTCGTGTGAACCATACGATAAATGCGTGCAAAAGGCTCGGGAGAGGAGGAAAATGAGGAATCACGATATTTAATGTGATCCAATTAAATCCTAACCCTTCATATACATTCCACAGCTGTAAGGCACAAAGGAAGGCTGGTCGCTAAAATGCCGAGCTATTAGAAAATTAATTCGGATTAACTAAGGGTTAATTAAGCTTATACTTGCAACAGTTCATATCTCCCCATACATTTATAATTCATGCATAGTGCTGTATATCAAATCCATCAATTCAAGATGTAGGATTTTATAAAATTGACTTTGTTAAATTTTGAGAAACGTGAAAATTGGGATATATTTCATAATTGTCAAAAGTGTAACCGATTTCGGTAAAACTGGCAAAACTGGGTATTTGAAATTTTGCTAGCTGATGAATAAAGTTATTCCTTAGTTGATTTTTGTATGTCATGTGATGAACATCTGAGCTATTTGATAGTAGTAATGATTTTTTGAGAAGTTATTTGATGCCAGTTGCACTTCTTATTTAAGCAGGTTCCCGTCCCAGCTCTCAAAGAACAGATAGCTATCGTAACAGGAGTGCTATCAGAGCAACAGCGCCTAATATGCCGTGGCAGGGTTTTGAAAGATGATCAGCTCCTTTCAGCTTACCGTATCCTTGCTTTTTCTGTCCTAACTGTGCTATCATTTTTATTTTATCGTAACCGGAAAATATACTTGTTTATTTTTTAAGCTGCATTGCAGATATTATGAAATGTTGCATTTCTTTGTTGACTGATTTATGATATCCTTTATGAGTCTAAATTCATTCAGTTTTATTGATTTCACAATGGACTTACTGAGTATTAAGTCGCCGTGAGTTTTTAGCAGACAATGATAATCATATAGGTGTCGTTTATTTATTTGACTAATATGGAATGCTTTTCTTTAACTAAGATGCTTTAAGATGTTGAGGATGGTCATACATTACATCTTGTTGTCAGGCAGCCTCACCAATTATCATCGGCATTTTTTGGTTTGGAGGATCAATCTGGTAACCCTTGTTTTCACTCCTTAGAATAAATACGATATTATTCTACTCGCTGAATTTGTTGTTGTTTATGCATTCTTTCAGATTGTCCGTGCTTGGGAAACTACCCTTTGTACATTAACATATCTCTTTGTTTGACAGACTTAATTTGCATTTTTATTACTGTGCCTATTGTTGCACATCTTATCATTAGCAAGGTTTATGCCTGTGGTTTATGTTGTTGGTTATTTGCTGCCTAAAACTTTATTTGGCGATTTATTTGGTTGAGCTAACTTATTTGTCGTTAGGATAAACCATGCAGCATTGCACTTTTTTACTATCCCATGTTTTATTTCTGCCAAGTTGACATCTGTAGTTGTGATAATTCTAATGATGATGTTGAAGATGATATATTTCTTTGTTAAATTTTTAGTTTTGTTTTTAGATGGTTCAGTTATTTCCTCACTTCTTCACATAGGCTTTGCCTCGTCTACTCTAGTGACTGCATACATTGAGCTAAACTCTATTAGGTGCTGCCTCAACCTAGCTAACTATGCCCTTTATTGTTTGCTTCTCCCTTTATTGTTTGCTTCTTTTAGCAAATAATCGAACCTATTCTCTTCACCACATGTACTTTTTCTGTGGATTTTACCTTTACATTTATCAGTTATAGGTTGGGATATATATTTGTGGCATCCTAATCTGATACGAAGCAGTTGGGATAAAGTTATACAACTCTCATAAAATCCTCTTTATGGACAGCATAAGATATGCTTTATGAGACAAAACTATTTTTCTGAGAAAACTAGGAAATTAACTAATCTCAGCGAACTGTAACAAATCCTTAAGAACTTCTTATTCTCTAATAATTTTAGGTTATACATAAAGCAGTCTATATTGTTTTATTTATTTATTTTTTTTTTGAGGGATCTTTTTACCCTGCACTAAACACCTTTAAAACACATGTCTAACACTTCAAAATTTATTTTTACTTATATGATACTTCACGCATTATTACATTATCCTAACTCTGTAACCCCACTTGGCTGAATTTTTCATTAAGAACAGACGTGCGAACACCCTCACATGGCATGAAGCTTTCTCCTTCCTTACTTCATTGCTCATTATTCTAAATGTCTGGTCTTTATACCTTTGCTTAAGGTGTTAACCTATAAAAAGACTTGCATTGTGTAGTGATACCGGAGAACCCAGATCTGATAGGAGAAAGCGAAATTTCATTAATCAAACAACAATGGAGTACAAAAAGGACTCAAAGCAACATAGAAAATCAGCAAAACATAATATCAGCTAGGGCTGGATAGGATAATCCGTGGACGGTGGTGAGTGGATGAGGTGGAATTGGTGGCATCAGTAGGAAGGTGTAGGAGTGAGGGTTTCGGTGGTGGATGGAAAATGATAGGGGGCTTGTGGTAGAAGCAGGAGGTGGACCAAGGGGGAAGCGGTCCGACGTCGCTTGAAAGCAGGGGTAAGGGGTGGCGGCATAGTAAGTGGGTGATGGTAGGGCTTGCGGTGGCTGCAGACTGAAAATAGGGATTTAGTAGCTGGAACAGGGATGGGAGGGGCGTCAGCTAGATGGCAACAAGTAGGGAATGAAGAGACGCATAGGATTAGGTTGAGATAGTCACCACTTTGGAGCATGATACATTTGGAACACCACCCGCCTTCTTATACAACCCTAACTAGGGTAAAACACTGATTGCGAGAATTTGAAATCATAATTGACAAAAAACTAAACCCTATACAAGCAAACATATATATAATAGTAGCTAGAATAGGAAGGGGAGGCCCTTTCCCTTTGGGTTGTAAAGCAACTTGGACCGGTTAGTTGGCCTAAGTCTTTCTAGTTGAACCGGTTTGTTCAATCCTTCCATCGCAGGTAGAACCTGCGACTTGTAAGCCCTATGTCAGTCTCCCAACGTTGGCTGAGTTTCAATTTTATTTGTCAAAGCTTCTAGTTTTTCGTCTGCAACCCTAGCATCAACTGGATCCCATTGTTGGCTGTACTGTTCCCAAGGCACCTTAGGGCTTTTCTTCCACTTGCGAGTATACATTCATATCGATCCTCTCTTCGGTGGGTCCAATGATGAATTGAACTGAGTCTGCGTGTCTTGCCTATGCTGCTGCATAGTACCAAAGTAATCTATGATCGACTCAACTTGATTCGAAGTGAGGGTAGCTTGAATCTCCTCAAACGGTGGTGGTCATGGTGGTAAGGTATCGATCGTGATATTCTCGAAGTCTCTGTCATGACTGTCCCGTTTTTGGAGCTGGTGTCTCCGTGTTATCCTTTTTTGCGACCAAAACTAGTCCCATCGATACTGCTCTGTTGGCAAGGGTAACTGTGATCTCGTGCTTCGTTGAAGGGAGAAGGGAGAAGGGAGAAGAAAGATGCATTACTCATTCTTGATGAAGGAATATGTGTTTTTGAATTTGTCGTGCTGAGTTTCTACGGTCAAACTATCACGGTCTCCCCAACAACAGTTGACAGACATCCATGTGTACCTCGCCACACCACACCTTATCCTGTAGCGGGCTCCCAATCGAAAATTTCACTGATACCTCCGGTTAATGCTGACCTGGTGCTACTTCTTCAGCTAAATTAGAGAAAATGAATGGGAGTACCTCTGAGTCATGAGTCCCAACTTCTCCACCATGTGTGTAGATGCCATATTTTTACTTCTCCGTCCATCGTTGATTAGACTACATACCTTTCCGTTTATGGTGCAATAAATATTGAACATATTGTGATGCAGCCACTGCGAATCTTCATATGCTCGAACAGTAGGATTGTTCTAACCACGAGCACCTCGCCTTCAACCGGTGGAAGATAATGCACCTCACCTGCTCCTCAGGTGTTTCCTTAATGCTAACCACCTCTTCTCTGTAAAAGATATGACTCGGCTTGTTAGGCAACTGGAGGCGATGTGCCAAAATTCATCGCATCTAAAACATTTTCGGGCGAGAACCGTAGTAAGTGTGCTACTCTTCTCTGCCTTCTTCTCACTTGGGGTGTTTGTTCTTAACCGACCCAATTTTTCAATTTATTGAGGTGTGCTCTTGCCGATGTCTTCAACTATAGGTGGATGTCTGATTGATGGTAGTTGCTTGCTCATTTTTTGCTGCCTTTCCATTTTCAATGTTAAGGTCTGGACATCTTCAAGCGGCCAAGAAGGCTGCAACTATATCACATTGCTAATAGTAGGCTTCAGGCCCCCCAGATAATGGGCTATGGCGTGCTACTCTAGCTCGACCAAATCACATTTTATCTACAACTGTTCAAACTGCATCGTGAACTCGTCTACTGATAGGTATCTATGCTGCAGGTGGTACGGTCTCAAAAAAATCTCATGACAGTAGTGTGGAGGTAGGTATTTTATCTGCATCGCTTTCCAGATCTTCTCTCATTTGGTAGTCTTGTCATTGCATTCTCTCTTCCTTTATCCTAAAAAGTTTTCCCACCATAAAGAGGCGCTCCTTCTAAATTTGATAGATGCAAGCTTCACCTTTTTATCTTCTGACACCACTTTGTACTCGAAAATCACTCTACTAATTGTAGCCATTCGATAAAGTCATCTGGATCTATAACTCCATCGAACTAAGGTAGGACCACTTTTATTCCAAAGTCTCTGTATCATCCATAGGTGGCCTCCTCTATCGCCCTTCTCTGATATTGGATACCAAAGCATGGTGGACTTTCTTCTTCTTCACTGAAATCCTCCCTATTGAAGTGGTTGAAATTCTTATCTCTTTCTCTTCTTCGACTTTCTATGTCATTATCGAGGGTAAGTCCCACCCCCCTGAGTTTTATTCACAATGTCCGCAAGTCTTCGCTGAAGTCGACAAATTTCTCATTTTATCTCTTTCCGGGTAGGCTTGGGCTTGTATCATCTTGGGTTTCTCATTTTATCTCTTTCCGGGTAGGCTTGGGCTAGTATCATCTTGGGGGCATGACTAGGGTTTAGAGTTGAGAGGTGAAAGAGGGAGTTAAAAAATTGATTTAGAGTTGCTGATTTTGAAAATGAGCAAGAGGAAATTAGGGTTGTTAAAGTTTTGCTATTGTTTGTAAATAAGAAAGAAAATTTTTGATGGAAGGGTAAGGCGGATACTAGCAACGTTATGATAGAACTGGGATGAGAGTAGCTCTGTACCAAATGATATCAGGATTAACCTAGATTTGATAGGGGAAAACAGAATTTCATTAATCGAACAACAACGAATTACAACTATAACTTAAAACAACATAGAAAATCATCAAAACATAATATCCGGCTAGGGATCGATAGAATAGTTCGTCGACGGTGGTGAGTGGATGAGGTGAAATCAGTGGCAACAGTAGGAAGGTGTAGAGGTGATGTTTTCAATTGTGGCTGGAGGGTGATAGGGTGTTGTGGTAGAAGCAGGAGGTGGGCCAAGGGGGAAGCAGTTCGACAGCAGGAGTTGGTTAAGGAGACCGGTTGCTGTGACGCAAGGGAAATGGGTGGCGGCACAACAGATGGGTGGCGGTAGGGCTTGCGGCGGCTACAAACTGAAAACAAGGATTCATTGGCTTGAACAAGGAAGGGAGGGGCGTCGACTGGATGGCAGCAAGTAGGGAATGAGGAGACTTGTGGGATTAGGTCGAGATAGTCATCACATCGGTGCGGGATATAGCCAGAGTCCTTCCCGCCCTCAGATACAATCCTAGCTAAGGAAAAAAACGTCAACAGTGAGAAATCTGAAATCAAAATTGACAAATAAACTAAACCCTAAGCAAGCAAACATTGTATATATAATAATAGTTAGAATAGGAAAGGGAGGACCCTCCCCTTTGGTTGGACTGGTCGCTTGGCCCTAGTCTTTCTGGCTGAACCGGTCGATTTAACCCTTCAATCGCAGGTAGGGTCTGCGGCTGGTAAGCTCGAGGTCAAGTAGATAAAATGGCCTATCGGTTAAATGATAACATCTTGAGGTAAGAAATTTGAAACTTTTTCTATGCATTTTGAATGATAAAGAGCTAAATCATC